ACACACACACACACACACATACACACACACACACAATATACATATATACACACACACACACAGATACACACACAATATATATATACACACACACGCAGACAACATATATATACACACACACACACACACATACACACACACACACAATATACATATATACACACACACACACAGATACACACACAATATATATATACACAAATATACACATGCACACACACATACACACACACACTATATATATACACACACAATATATATATAAATATAAACACTATATATACACACAGACACACACACTATATACACACAATATATATATATATATACACACACAATATATATATATATATATATATAAACACTATATATACACACACTATATACACACACACACACAGACTATACACACACACAGACTATACACACACACAGACATACACACAATATATATATATAAACACTATATATACACACACTATATACACATAGACACATACACAGACACACACTATATATATATATACACACACACACACACATACATACACACACTATATATACACACACACATATACAGACACACACTATACAGACACATACACACTCTATATATACAGACACACTCTATACACACACATATATGCGTGCGTGCATGCATGGTGATAAAAGGATGTAAAGGTGTTCGTGTATATAAGTTGAAGTGATGATGCTATGTATGGAATGTACAATATAATATACACCATATATACACACACACACACACATATATATATATACACACACACACACACACACACACACACACACACACGTGAAATGATAAAAGGATGTAAAGGGGGGGGGTGGTGATGCTATATGGACCATACAGTACATACAACATACACCATTTACTGTCACGTTATACATGAGTGTATTATACCATTACAGGGCAATATTATGATCATTATGCTGTTATTACACATGATTTTATATGTTAGATAGATAGATAGATAGATAGATAGATAGATAGATGTGCATGTGAGGTGATGCTATGTATGGGATATGGAAAAATAATATACACCTTATACATATATACACCTTTAAATACATAAAATCGCATACATATGACTGTATTATACCATTACATGGCGATATTATGATTATTACGCGTCATTCTCTATAGATTGCTGTGACTAATTGACCCCAGCGCTACATGGTCCGACGCACTGCAGGACACACTAGACAGGACACGCGACGTCTCTACGTCCGTGCGCCGAGGAGGCGGCGCTGCCCCGGGGCTGCCTACGGCTGAGGCACACGCACCTTCGGCTCGTCAGCCTCGA